CGCATAACATACAAGGCTGTTTGGGTAATCAAGTTCTTTTCACTCTGAAGAGGTACGTTCTCAGCAGCATCTCCTTCATAGCTCAATTTAGCGTGGTGCTTATCGTCTGATGTGTCTAGCGAAGGATCCACGGTGACCTGGACCTCCAAAAAAAGGTTGAGACCGATTCCCAAAACGTCGAAACCAGGCCCGATGTTGGCACTGGACGCAGGAACTTTGAGCTTGAAGTCCACCATTGTTATGATTTCGTTTCTCCAAAGTGAAAAATTCTATGTAGTAGGCCTCAACTTGAGTCAGCCTGATAGACCCGTGCACCCCGATTCAGGCTACAATGATATCAACAGCTTCGGCACCTTGGCGCCATATGATTATTAACCCTATTTAGTAAACACACGTCTCTCTCTTCTCCCACTCGATCTCAGCAGGCTCCATTGGCAAAGTCACCATAGACTGGTAGTCAACAGGTGGAAGCGAACCGTTGTTCTTGAACTTCCACTTGATGTTGTACACATAGGTTGCCAAGATGGTGCCAAGCTGGACATAGGCGAACTGCTCACCAATGCAACGATGTCTTCCACCACCAAATGGCAAGTATGGGGAAGAAACACCCTTGGTCACCTTACCGAAACCATAGTCCACGGCATCAGAGTCAATGTTGCTAGACAACTCCTCGTCCCATCTATGAGGGTCGAACTCGCCGGCCTTAGGGAACCATTTTTCAGAAGTCTGAGCGTAACCAGGCGACACCATGACGTAGTGGCCCCTAGGAACAACGTAAGTAGAGTTGGGAACCACAAGAGGGTTCATGACCTTTCTGAAAATGGAGTGCAATGGCATGTGCATACGTAACGTCTCCTTGATGGTCTGGTTGATCAAAGGCATCTTCTGCAAGTCATCGTAAGACAAGTCTTTCAAGCTGCCACCCTTTTCAGCCAACACAGAGAGCACCTCGTTGTAAAGCTCCTCTTGCAACTTAGGGTTCTCAGCCAAGTGCAACAAGAACCAAGCAGAGGTGGAAGCAGAAGTGTGCTGACCACCCATCAAGACACCAATCAACAAGTTGGCGACCTCCTGGTCAGTCATCTTCACACCATCTTTGTAGGTGGAGTTGGTCATGAGCGAGTCGATCAAGTCTCTGTCTGGGATGATGTCACCGGTCTTTCTTCTCTCATTAATCAAGGACATGTAAGTAGCTGAGATCTTCTGCTGGGCAGCGTCTCTCTTCCAGTAAGCGGGCAAAGGCAAGTGAGGGAAAACAAAGTTGATAGGGGTGAAACCCTTGTCCAAGTCGGAGTACAACTGGGCAAAAGAGGCGTCAAACTTGGCTCTCATGTCGTCACCCATCAAAGACTTGGAAGCAGTCAAGATGGTCATCTCAGGCTGGGTCTTCATCACGTTGGCAACACCGTTGTTGCGATCGTTCATCTCGTACTCAGGACAGGTCTTGAAGTAGTCCAACACCTCCTCTTGGATTCTGGGCACGTATCTCTGGAAAGCTTCCTTGGTCAAGGCAGTCTTTGCGAACTTCTTCTGCTCCATCAAACGGGAGTTTGGGCAGTCGAAAATAACACCCTTGCCGAAGACAGGAGTGGTCAAGTGGGAGTAAGCTGCCTCGGCAGAGACGTCAGCAAGCTTAGCGTTGAGCACAAACTCGTGGCCCTTTGGACCCAAGTAGACTGTCATAACTTTACCCAACAACATGAAAGCAAAGACATCGCCGTACCGTTCACGGCAGTTGTCGAAAAACTCGTATGGCTGCATACCGTAGGCCACAGCGGATCCAAACCATGGGATCCAGTGGAAAACAAGGGGTGCTCTATCTTTTCTAAAGGAGTAGATGAACTGCCAAAGAACATTGTACACGATGGGGGCTGCAATGAGGATCACAAGCTTCACCGGCGTAGGCAAAGCCTGGAAGTGGTCCACTAAATCCGCAAGATGATCCTTCAAGGTCATTAGGACGGATAATAAAGAGCGAATGCGGTGAATCTAAAAGTTGGCCAAGACGATGAGATTATATAATGTGGATTTAAGACGGGACTATACGAAGGTGCACGGGTGTGTGAAAAGAGACGCGAGCATGGCATGGTTTATGGGACCACAAAGGTGCACGGTAGGCAGTGAATATGGAGGTTTTTTTTAGATTTTATGAAAGGAGAATAAACGTTTTCTTCCCCTTTGTGACTAATCAAAGATTTTGATTGGACGCCTCGAATTCCAAAAAGTGCACCATCAGATCTACCTCGTGTGGTCAGCATACTTTGGCGAGCTGCGATAGGCAAGTCAGGAGATGTACCATGCACTGATAGGGGACACATCAACAAACGCCGACGTCTACTAAAACGCTATGACACGTACGCGAGCCAATCAGATCACTTGTATTAATATCCGGAGCTTACTAGTATACTTCTATGGGCACATCGTATGCGCGAAAGAATGGTTGCAAAATGTAGACAGTGTAAACGAGAAGTGAAAAAGGGATGCGTACACTGCGTCGCTGGGGATGGTGCAAAAAAAATAAAGGAGAAGAAGCCTGATGTGATTAACGGCCGTCCAATAGGCTCTCATCGATTTGAAGTCCCATCATGCGAGCCCGTTCGATCAACTCACGGTGCTCCATCTTTATGCGCTCGTTCTTGCGCTCTAGGAACTTGATGTACTCGATCGACTTGGCCAAAATCGTGCCCTTGTTAAGTTTTCTGGCAGGCTCCAATCCTTCGAGATCTTCGCTGTGCTCGAGCAGCGGCGAACAGATATCGTCTTCGTCTTCTTCGTCTTCGTCCCGGGAGCCCACAGAGCCCGAGCGGTGCTTGTGTGTCTTCTTTGCAATCACCCGAAGCGTGGGCACCAGCATCTGCAAAGCGGTGAAGCGGTCGTTGATCTTGTTTCTGTATCTCTGTTCGATCAAGTTGTGAGCCGATTTGGCCCGCACAGGCTGCTGCGGCTTGTTGCTAGCCGGGGCGTTGTCGTTGTAGCTGTTTTGAAGCGACGTCTGCGAGTCTTCATCGTCCCACTTCTTGAGCCCCGTGTAGTTGCCCGAAAGGAACTGCTGGTTGTTGAACGACGTCATGCCGTTGAGGCCGCGGCCCACGGATCCATTGAGCCCGTGCGGCTGCTGTGCATTGTGGTGGAGGTGTTGTTGCTGTTGGTGATGAGGAGGTAGTCTGACCAGGTTCTCGGAAGGAGGCACCAGTGGAGGCCCCAGGGTCAGAGCCAGGTTGGACGAGGAGCCGCCCAGCTGGGGGTTGGTGTTTGGGTCCATGTGGGCGTAACCCATCGGGTTAAGCAGGGAGAAGTCGTTACCCATGGCTGGGCTTACGGCAAACGGTTCATAGGGAAGACGGTCCCGATCGTAATCTAGCGGGTGGTCGTCCAAGATGGGCGGGTTTTGCATGCGTGGGTAGGAGAAGTCCATCTGGTCGTTGTTATTGTTGTTGTCGCTGTTGTTATTGGTGGAGTTGTTGTTTGGAGATTCTTCAAAGATGGGACTAAACAGGTCAGGCTGGGATGCCGAGAGGTGAGCCGGGTCGAGGTCTTGCTGTGGTGGGGGTTCGGCAGGGCCGTCAAAGAGAGACGGTAGCTGGGAATTATATAGACGGGACGTCTTGCGACGGTCGTTCTGGGGAAGCATACGGCAGATGGGGTGGTTTTTCTCAGGTGGTACTTTTTCCTTTGGAGGTGCTTGGTTCAGGCTATCAGTACTGCACGTCAGCGGAGGCTACGACAGACAGGAGATGGTTCTGGGGAAGCGCCGGGAGAAGAATGTAGAAAATAAATAGTTTAATTACGGTGCTTTGCGTCGGGCTGCGGCGGCGGCGGGCCTTGGGATTTGGGCTGGTCATTAGTCTGGCGGTGGGTTTTTCACGGTTTCGGTTTTTCCAAGGTCAGCCCCAGCACTGCGGCAGAATGCACGTTCGAAAGAGGCGCCGGAACAATTGAGCTTCGTGAGGGCGGCCGTTGGACTGTGATTTTTTTCCCACAAAAACAGAATTTCTTTTAGTCTCCTGAATCCCCCGCTTTTGGGCCCTAGAGCAACAAGCTTTGGCTGTTTTGGTGCCCTTGTCGCTTATCCGCGCGGTTTTGTCCTATGCTGTCCTGGATCCAAGCTGCATCACTCCACTGAATCATACGATTTAGTCCGCGAGCAAACAAGGCCCAGGAACGACAAGGAAAATCGACATAGAAAAAAATTCCAAAGCAACACCAGAACATTCGCGCTGCTTCCTCGGTACTCGGTCACGTAGGTCCGTAAATCAAACCAATTAAGACAAAAGAGTCACTTAAGCCAAATGCTTGTTCTAAGCCCTTTTGGCCCTGACCCTGACCCGGTCAGTAACTCCGGGCTCCTCGGTCCAACACACCATTTCTGCCCCATTTCTGCCGTAAATGCCAGTGAAGCAAAGTATTTTCTTCTTGCAGAAGCAGCAGCATGTAGGGTCTTCGGTTCGCCGCTATGTACGGTGTACTTGTGGACCAGGGTGCTGCTTGACGCACGGTGCTGAGCCATTTTTTGCAACCGTTCTGCGCCTACAACATCACCAAATGACGGCGGAAACAGACTTTATTTTTGGGAGCTTGAGCTTCCTCGGTCCGTCGGCGAGCCCGTCTCGCCACCTCTTTAACGCTGCTCTACGTTACGGTTGTTGGATCCTCGGTACTCTGCAACGCTAGATCTGGATCTTGTCGATCACCTCTCCAGGCCCAAGAAACCGTTTTTCAAAAATTATGCTGTCTATGCCTATTTGGATCTTGCCAAGGGACGCACCACGCCTATCTGAAACACCGATTATCGATTCCATCACCGAAAGGAGGGGATGGCCTCGAACCGTCTGGGTCTCCTGACTGGCGACTTAGATACTGAAGATCGACACTGCCTTGACGTAAGCATGCAATGGTTGTCGGCCCCTATTCACGTCAAGTACGTTGCATCGACGGCAGACCAAACTTGGCCGTCATCAATTAGGTATAATGCTGATATCTCCGAAACGCACAAGGCTGCATCATGCCCAAACCTGTAATTGGTCGTAGAAATCGATCCGCTTCTCTGTCTTGTCCATCGCTCTCAATACGGTGTATTTGACGTCGTCCACCATAGCTGGATGACCACAGGTGACGAATGCTGCTGAGCTCGTAGCCTCTTCCACATCTTTATGAATTAATTGAGAAAGGTCGGGTCTTCCTTCGAATATTTCCACATGTGGGAGTGCCAGCCGAATGTGCTCCATAATTTCAATTCCCTCTGTCTCAACCTTAACCTTCAACTCTTTTTCCTCATCCTTATCGGCCGAGTGGACTGACTTGCTTGAGGAGATGGAGTGGGGCACTTTTTCCATGCTGTCCTTGTGAAGGGCCGACTGCAACTCCTCGATCCCATCTTGCATATCTGGTCTTGTGATGTAAATCGTGGTCTCCACGGGCAAGGAAAGCATCAATTTTAGCTCGTCGATAAACCACGAAAGCGACTTTGCTTCTCTCAAGATCCAAACAAGCTTTACTTTCTGATTCTGGATGGATCTCTTGGCAACGTCTCTGCCCAGATGCAAGGCCTCGGCAAAAATGCCTGGAATACCATTACCTCCGGCAATATAGGTGACGCTTGAGTGGCGACTCACTGGGCTTTTTTCTCCATATGGTCCTTCCACACCAACCCTCATAAATATCGTTCTGCCTGGAACGTTTGCCAACTTCTTGCCGATTTTCTTGGTGACTCCATTTTTCACTTTGCAGTAGAAGACAATGCAGTTGCCTTCTTTCTCCTCGACTTCCACAAATGTGAAGGGGTGTGACTGCCAGAAGTACCAGCCCAGAGCAAAATGCAACCAGGCGTGACCTCCAGGGATCGAAGTCCAATGATTTGGTTTTGGAACCGTCACTTTCACAGCGTCATCGGCAATGAGTTCAACTTTGGCTAGCGGAAAACCGAACCAAAATAATCTGATAACCCTCACCAAGCGATCCACGCCCCAGACGGCAAATATAGGATACACTAGCTGAGGATAGTTGAGCAGCGAAATGTGCTGCCAAAGTCCAACCACGAAAAACACAGCAAGGACAATGTGGATCACCAAGAACGTTTCGTAGTAGGCTCTTCTGAGGAAAAGCAAGCCCTGGAAACAGATGAGAGCACCGCATGTGGTTGCAACAATGCCCCAGACAACATAGGTCTCGGCCATTTCCTCAAAATAAATGCCGTCCATGACATAAAGTGCCGTGAAGCAGATGGAGTGAACAAAAGCCATGGCAACCATAAGTCTGGCGATCCAACGGTGGTAGGTAATGAAAGATGCAAAGCTCCATCTAGTGAGCCATTGGAGAATGTTGTTTCTTCCGCCGAACAAAATAAGCAAGGGAACCGTCATGGTAGCAACGATGCCTGTTCTGTCAGCCACATAACGAGTGATGGCCTCTTTCTTTGCAGTGAATAATGGGTCGTTTGGAAGGTAGCGAATCTCGACTATCAACATGGCAAACACGAGCCAGAAGAAGACGATGAGTATGAGCGATTCCATTCTCGAAGGAACGAGGTAGCTGAGAAAACCACCCAAGAAATCCTGCTGTGTTTGTCTCTTTCTTGACCACAATGCTGGAACTGTAATGTACCTTCTCCAGGCCCTAGACACCCTTCCGTTGAAGAAGTTCTTCAAACCTGGCAAAAGCACAAACCCCCAATTGGCCACACCAGCCAACAAAAAAATGAAAAACCAGTACGAGACGGCTCCAACACCGTAGTAGATGGAGTGGTCGTAGTTGCCCAAGAAGACCTGGTAGGATTCTCGGTACAACAGTGCCTGGCTGCCATTAATTGCAAGAGGTGTGGTCATATTGTCAGTGGTGGAGTTGAAGTCGGGATTCGATGCAAGCGGGTCTGTAGCATGGTCCTGGTAGTACTGGTACGATTCCTCAAGCTCATCCTCAGTCAAAGACAAGTCGTACCACTTTTGACAATAATCGTTCCAGTATTTTGTGCCCAGCTTGGTCGATCCATAAAAAGTTAAACACCCCATGACTGTAGCCCTAGCATTTTCGTTATTGCAGTAACACTCGTAATCTCCAGGCACCTCACAGAAGAGGTACGGTGACAACATATATGCACATGCCAAGTATGAAATACCGCCCTCGCCATAGAGCTCTAGGTTCAGTACTTTGGCCGAGGCTCCGAAAAGAAGAAAAATATATGTCAAAAGCATGCCCGCTGGTGGCTTGGAGGTGGACCCTTTGAATATAAGTAGTCCGCATGGACCTCGTAAATCAGCGACTATTCCCCAGATTGGCGTCGAGGCGGTCTGCCGTCGGAGCTTTCTGCCCAATGAGAGACGGTTTATCTTTGACCATCTATATGCATCAAGGTGTCTGGACGGCTATTGTTGGAATGCAGCCAATGGGTGGGTTTGAAGCAGTGGAGGAGGCTTCGACCCGCATCCAGAACACAAGTACGGCGCCGGGGCACTATACCAATTCCTCTATTATATCCGTTATTTAACTTCTCTATTTCAATCCTAATCCCTCGATGGTATGAATTATTGATGGAGAGCCGCCTCTGCTTTGACAGGTGGGGTGCTTTTCTTGGCCGCGTTGACAGGCAATATACGGTGAGGCGACCATGGGCGTTGCATTGTGGCACCTCCACATATTTGAAAAAGCCGTCCGCAATTCCCGTCTACTGTTTCAGCCTGCGCCTGGGGTCTGGCCGCTTAGGCGGACCTGCAGCAAATGCACCTTTTAGATCCAATCAGATAATCAGTAGGCGATGGTGTCAGAGAAGTGGCACATGCAAGATACTTCCGTAAACCTCCCATGCAGATGTGCTGGAGCCAGATTAAGACGACCAAGCTTGTGATTGGAAATATGGCAGCTTCGACGAGTCTGACAAAATGCAGTTGCAAACATAACACAATGTTGAAAAACGATTATCAGATCACAGAGGCCTTTGTGGGATTCCGAAGTGTGCCGGTCTGCCTACAATGGGTTCCTGGAATGGCTGTGGCAGGCTTGGAAAGAGGGCTTTTCGGCCCTGCGCTTTTCACCCAAAGCCACCTCGGCTTTCTATTATTTCCAATGGATCAATGGCTTTTTTTGATTGGCCCCTGGCGAGTGGAAAATCTGACAGGGCGTTGTGGGCGTCCCCAGAAGCTTAAGCGGTGTGCGTTTTTCATGTTCGAGCTGCATTAGGCTGGTAGCGTATTCACGAACGTTCAGCTTTTAGGGGTACACAAAACGGGAAGAGAAAATGTGACAAGTGGAAATTGCCGATTCCTTTTTTATGAATTGCTCTTTGGGTTTGGAGAAACCCCATACGAGCTTCCATGGTGAACATAAGTGGTTGATCACATCACGTTTTTTGCAATCATCAGAGAAAGGACCAACAATGACAAAGTCGCCATTGACTTACATGACTATTTTCTCAAGACCGCTGACTTTGTGGTTTCGGATTTCGGTTAATACCGCTTGTGCTACTACGCTATAGGCCTTTCGCAGCCATTGTAGGACGTCAACTCAAGCATCAAGTCCACACAACCAAATAAGCAATTCACCAAATCTTGAGCAAAAACAATATTCACAACCTCCAAATACCCCAACACACGAATAACCTTCCAATGCATCCTCCTACGACTCTTCGCACGTGATCTCATCGGCTTTTCAGTGCCCCAGACTTCATCTCCAACCTACATCATCATGTCTGATCTTCACGACTTGTGTAAATTCTCCAGTCGGCCCATCACCCAAAAAGCCGTGGATGATCTCAAATACTACTTGAAGGCTGGCATCCCCGCCACCTACACCATAGAAGAGGCGTACAATTACATGAACGGCATCGAGGAAGGTGGAGCTACTACCACTACAACTCCGCTCCATCTTATAGCCACGCATGTCCCAAAGGACCTTTCTGAAGAGGAGATGAAGATTGTCAACGACATGGTCACCATTCTCTTCGAATACGGTGCTGGCTGGTGCTTGACAGATGTGAATAATGACACTCCAGGCTGTATCTTCATCAACAGAGGCATGAAGGACACTCCGTTGTACGATCAGATTGTGGATGCCGGAGTCCGTGCCGAGCTTTTATTGCGTAAGGTCAGTGAGTTTGACATGGAGGTGCTCAGTGACGAGGAAGCTCTTGAACTAGCAGCTCGTCAAGAAGAGGCTGGAGAGAATGCTGCTGAAGAGGACACTGAGGAGACATCTGAGACCAAGGACGTGGCTGTAACTCAGGAGGCCGAAAAAGAAGCCGAAACCACCGAACTGAACGACACAAGCGACCCCTCTTTCAACCAAAAGGCTTACCTCGAATCCAAGCTACAGTACAAGGACGATGCCTTGGTCACCGAGGAGGGCAAGGACGGTGTCATGATGTCGTGGGAAACGGATCTCATGAAGCTTGGCAGTGATTCTCTCTTCAAGAAGGCCGAGGACCCCAAGGACACTAACATCCTTAACATTGGTTTTGGCATGGGTATCATCGATGGCATGATCAACGCCAAGAACCCTACAAAACACTACATCTGTGAAGCCCACCCTGACGTGCTTGCAAAGATGAAGGCTGACGGCTGGTACTCCAAACCTAACGTCGTTATTCTCGAAGGTCGCTGGCAAGAGCTGCTCAACCACTTGCTCAGTTCAGGACTGGTCTACTTCGACGGTATCTACTACGACACCTTCTCGGAACACTACCAGGACATGCTTGAGCTTTTTGACTTTGTCGTTGGTCTCCTCAAGCCCACTGGTGTCTTCTCTTTCTTCAATGGTCTCGGTGCAGACAGACAGGTGATTTACGAGGTGTACAAGAAGTTGGTTGAAATCGACCTCGGCAACTACGGCTTGAAGACGGAGTTCAAGGAGGTTGAGGTTCCGCAAGAGACAATGAAGAAGGGCGATGCTAAGGACGAGAGCGTCTGGGACGAGATCAGAAGACCCTACTGGCTGTGTCCCGTGTACTACCATCCCGAGGCCACCTTCCACGATATTTAGGTGGGTTATTGGACATTAAGGACCACTTGGGGCTTGTCGAGCCATCATTATATATGTACCATAGACCAAAGCTCGATACTGCCTTCACGCATTCAAGTAGCACCTTCTTAGCCAAGACATCAACACAAGTAGCACCAGCCACTCTACGCCTACTACTCAAGACTTGGGGGTATTTTTTTTTTTTCTATTTTTTCTATTTTTTTATTTTTTTTCTTCTTTTTTTGTTTTATGTTCTTTTTTTTTTTTCTTTTTTTGTTTTTTTTTTTTTTTTTTTTTTTTTTTTTTTTTTTTTTTTTTTTTTTTTTTTTTTTTTTTTCTTTTTTTTTTTTTTTTTTTTTTTTTTTTTTTTTTTTTTTTTTTTTTTTTTTTTTTTTTTTTTTTTTTTTTTTTTTTTTTTTTTTTTTTTTTTTTTTTTTTTTTTTTTTTTTTTGGTGATGTTTAACGTGCAACCGCCTAGTACAAACAACGACTGGCAGTCAACACGGGTGAGACAGCCTCACCATCAGTTCCAGAACTGGAACCCGACGTTTCTAAGCTTGCCCTTGATTCCCGTGAGCTCAGAGTCCTCGGGAATGTAGCGAAGCTGCTTCACATCCTTCCACTTCTCACGGTTGGCCTTGTAGCTATCTCTCTCCCAAACAGGCTTGCCCTCCGGTTTGGGAGGAGGAGGAGCATCAACACGGATAGGCTGAATGTAGAAGCCGGCGTCGGCATTGGGCTTGGGCTTGGGCGGCGTGGAAACGAAAACGTGCTCTGGCAACACCTCGTTCGAGTGAACAGTAGGTGCCACAGAAACAACCCGAGACCCAATGGCGGTCTTCTTGGGCTTGACGCCGAGAACTGGTCTCTCACGAGCAATGGCTTCACGAAGCTCCGAGTCGCCGGTGAGGTGCCATGGGTTGGCTTCCATCTCTCTAGCGTTGAGAACCTGGTAGGGTTGGGGTTCTGGGGAAGGCACCACTGGAGAAGGCTTGGGGCTCTTCTGGGAGGCCTTCTTGGGGGAAGGCTTCTGGGAAGGTTTGGGGGCCTTGGCCTTGCAACCCGCCTTGTGGCCCTTGGAGGTCTGGGCTACCTTCTTGGCCTTGTGCTTCATGGCCTTGAGGTAGGCAGCGTACTTGGCATCTTCGGCTTCCTTAGCAGCCTGGGCCTGCTTGTACTTTTTGGCAACCTTCCGGTTGGCCTTGGCAACGACGGCCTGGTACTCGAGCATCTCCAACTTGCGTCTGTTGGAAGCCTGCTTGGCTGCAATCTGTCTCTGCAACTCGGCCTGTTTGTGGTCCTTGTGCTCTTGCTTCCAGTTGTGGGAAACCTCCAGCAAGCGGGCATCCAAATCAGCCAACTGCTTTTCTCTCTCGAGCATCTTGATGTTGCGCTTCTCAAGCTTGATCTCTCTCTTGATCTTGCTCTTGCTTTCTCTCAACTCTCTGTTCTCGCGCCAGTGCTCTCTGAACACCTTAGCACGAGCCGACCAGCGGTGAGAAACACGGCTGATTGCAGCGGCAATACGGCGGCAGCGGGAGTCCCTCTTTTCAACTTCCACGTCGTCGGTGTGGTCGACGGGGTTGTTGTGGCAGGGTGCCAGGAATGTGACCGAAGCGTCGCGAGGTCTAAAAGCTGGACCATCCGAAACTGGGTGGCTGGAGGTCGCTGGTTCAACGACATCTCCAGCGTAGTCCTCGCCCAATTCCAAGAGCCTTTGGGTGAACGACTCCTTGTGGGACTCGGCGAGGAAGGCATCGAGCCTCAGGCTTGGGATGCAGCGTGGGGTGTTCTTGACACACTCGGTGACAACAACCTGCTTGAGGAGCTCCCTGAGAATAGGAAGCTTCTTCGTCAGCAGGGCAAAATCAAGAGCCTGGAAGAGAGTAAGGTTCTCTACGTCAGGAATGTTCTTGCGAATCTCGGGGATGCTGGCAGCGTAGTGAGGCACTCTGCGGCGTCCCACTTGAACACAAACCTCTGGGGAGTGGAGGGATGGTTCGGGGGTTTCCTCGATGAATGGAGGGTTAAGGGGCTCGGCATTGAGCTGGTTTGGGGAAGTGTAGAGGGAAACAGGCTTGGTGGGGGAAGACAAGGCCTGTTTGTGTAAGGTAGGCTTCAGAGGGAGTTCTGAGGTTCTGAAGGTACCGTCGTGAAGAAGGGTGTTTGGGGCGGCCCCGATAGATGCAAACGCAGCTGGCGACTGGGTGTTGGCACCTCTTCTTCTGAAAACACCTCTTGAGATAGGCGCATTGTGTTTGTGGTAGGAGTAGGACTTGGTCTGAAGCTCTTCGAAGTGGGAGAAGTCAGTTCCGGGGAACTGAAGCTTGGTCGAGGGACACAAGCCTTGAATCGAGGAGCCTTGGCCGACCGAAGTCTTACTGGAGTTTGTGGACTTGATCAAGTCCAAGCTCTTCTTGGACTGGTTCAGAGAGCCAGATTCCAGAGAGCTGTTGGCCCCGGCGTGGGGGTGGTTGCTGAAGTTGAAAAATCTCATGATTGGCATGCTGTTTTTTCTGCTGATGATAAAAAAGTGGTTGGTAAGAAAAAAAAGTTGGAGGGGTCACACCAGGGCGCTTTATAGTTGGTCCCAGCGGGCTTGCAGCCAGGACTGCAGGATGAGAGCCTGTCAAAGTAGGAAAGAACAAGCTGCACTTGCCTCTCTCGAATGAAGCAGTGTGACCACGACGGAATTGGTCACGCCAAAAGAGCTTTCCGAACCTTTTGGGTTATTTATTGAAATAGCTGTGGTCATATTTCCTGGGAAAGCTGGGGTGCATCGTTCTTCGACGCACTTCCTGTGCAAATGCAGGGACCATACATAGGCGAGATTGTCTCACGATGATCCGCTTCTCTGTGGAAGAAGGATCGCCCACTGTGGCTTACGTAGTTGAAAAGTGTGATTTTAGGGTGTAAATGTCGATGTTTGATGAGGGGGGATCAATGAAACCCGAGAAATTGTTGGACTCAGTCCAAGCTTATACAGTAGGCTGTAGTCGTGGATAATCGAATCATAATATGCCAAGTAGACTAGCATTTTTGTTGCTGAGAGGTATTATTGTTGAAATTATTTGATTGGCTTGGTTGGAGTGTGCTCTCAAACTGACCATACGATTTGGACGATGCACAGTGCTCAAGAGAGTCTGTAGCCATGGACCTCATTCTTCGAAAGATGATTCATATTGCCTTTGCAAGCCCTTCTCTAATCCTTCAGTCCAATGAGTTGGCACATATGTGGCAGGCTTGCAGGCAAGCTTGAGCCCGAGTTTGGCTATGATCCCCTGGAGCCATATTGACCAAAGGCGGGTACACTGTAAAGACTCTTCCAATTTCAATATTCAGAAATTTGTGGAGACAAAAGCAGCCAGATTACGATTTCTAAGAAGTTCTGCTCCTTATGTGCAATTTATGTAATATTTTTAAATTATTGGTCTAGTGAGAAGTCGCTCTGGTTCTCAATCCACGGTAGTATATGCATATTTGATGCGAATTGTCGAGAACATCCCCACTTACAAATACACCAATCCAACAAAAAAAAAGCTGTTGAACAAATTCAGCGGATACACCGACTTCAAATCACGAATCATGAAAATACCTACTTCCTAACTCACTCTCCTGAATTCCTGTCCTCCCCTTAGTAATACAAACCACATCTTCGTCGCAGCGGATTTTTCGCACCCAGTAGTACCCGGTCTTAGAACCACCCACTTACAAATCCCACTTCAAAAGGCAAAAATCGATTCTTTTTATCGAATCAATCCCGTTAGACCTCCTTACATTCAACTACTTAAACCTCCCCCCACGATCCACCTCCGGTCTTGCCTCTGCACGACCCATCGGTACATACATTCTTCAACCGAAGCTTCACGATCCATCACCAACATGCTTTCTAGAACAGCCAGGCTCGCCCACCGCAGGCTTCTGAGCTCAGCGGTGCCTATAGAAACCACAAAACTCGCCAACGGCCTCAGGGTCGTCACAGACTCCACACCAGGCCATTTTTCAGCTCTAGGAGCTTACATAGACGCTGGACTGAGGTACGAGACTGACGCCACCTCGGGCCATTCCCACCTAATGGACCGCTTGGCGTTCAAAAGCACATCGCAAAGAAGCGGAATCCAGATGATGGACGATTTGGCTCGTTTGGGTGGCAACTTCATGGCTGGTGCTCAGAGAGAGTCCATCATGTACCAGTCGCTGGTGTTCAACAAGGACGTCAACAAAATGTTTGATTGCATTGCAGAGACTATCAGAGAGCCCCAGCTCACGGAATCCGAAATCGCCGAGGCCGGCGACACTGTGGCCTACGAACTCAGCGAACTCATCCACAAGCACGATTTGTTTCTTCCCGAGGTTTTGCATGCTGCCGCTTATCCAGACAACACATTGGGCAGACCGCTTCACGGACTGCCGGAATCTTTGGAGAATTTGACCCCCGAGGGCATTGTCGGCTTCCACAAGCAGTTTTACACTCCAGAGAACACCGTCATTGCTCTAGTGGGCGTCGATCACCAGAAAGCATTGGACATGGTTCAGCTGCGTTTGGGTGACTGGAAGAACCTGGGTATTCCTATTGCTCACGAGCCAGCCGTCTACAAAGGCGGCGAGGTTGCCTTGCCTTACCAGGAGCCTCTCTACAGTAACTTGCCCAAGCTTGTGCACATGCAAATAGCATTTGAGACCTCTGGCTTGCTTAGCGAGGACTTGTACGCTCTAGCGACGCTTCAAAAACTCCTTGGTGGAGGTTCTTCTTTCTCCGCCGGTGGTCCCGGTAAAGGCATGTTCCTGAGACTCTTCAGAGTGCTCAACCAGTACCCATTTGTGGAGAATTGCCTGTGCTTCAACCACGCCTACACAGACCTGGGCCTTTTCGGCATTACGATTTCTTGCTACGTCGGTCACGGCGAGTATATGGCGCAAGTTGCTGCTCATGAGTTTGCTAAAGTGCTTGAAACCGATATTGGCAAGGGCGGCATTACCAGCCAGGAGTTCCGCAGAGCCAAGAACCAGCTTATATCGTCGCTTTTGATGAACGTTGAGAGTAAATTGGCAGCTTTGGAGGACATTGGCCGCCAGGTTCAGTGCCAGGGCAAGGTCACCTCTGTGGATGAAATGGTGCAAAAGATCGAAGCACTCACGATAAGCGATGTGCGTAATGTGGCTCAGAAGGTGTTCTCTGGAAATGGCAACGGCCAGAAACAGAGCCCTCCTTCGGTGGCCATTCAGGGAGACAGAGCAGAGATTGGCGACGTCGAATTCGTCTTGCGCTACTTTGGTCTAGGCTCCTGGAGCACTCCCGCTCCATCCGAACCTCGCGACTACAGCAAACACAACGAGTCTTCTTTGAGGAAGTGGTTTTCCTAAAAAATTTTTTTTTTTTAAAGTGAGCCATCAAGTGGTGGCAGGGATGGCATTTTTTGGCCTTTTGATGTTTTCGCTCGCAACATTAGTCTTTTTGCGTTTTGGAGCCTTTACAGGACGCTGCTCCCCCTCAACGTACACATCATTGGGAAGGTCGTAGAGCTTGACATTCTTGATCAGAACGACATTCTTTTCCTCAGAGAATTCTGTCCAACCCTTGCAAATATTGAAAAATTCGGAACAGGGATATTGAATGTCGAGTTTTTTATGCCCTTCGGTGATGCTAAGGCCGATGTATAATTTGGTGAGATGGACATCTTTCGCGTTTTCAGCGTTTTCTTCCATTAGATCAAGACCTTCGGTTAATTTTTCTCCTTGAAGATTACCATATCCATCTATGACTTGCTTGACTTGCTCATCATCACGGCATTTCAAGGAGACCTCAAACGGCTTGACGTATGGATGAGCCATGGCGATGCCCTCAGTCAACTCAAGCTTCTGAACAAGGAAACGAACCTTGCTTTCTATCAATCCACTCCACTTGAGATGGTCCGCTGATGCACCTTTAGTTGCTGCAACTATACATAAATAGAACTTATAGTCGTGAAAAAATGTGTGCCTCTGTAGAAGAGTTCCCCACAGCGCCTCGCCTTTGACGATTTGACTCATAACATTCATCCCTCTCTCGAGCTCCTTTAAAATGATTTCCTTCGTAGATTGGGTGATGTTGTGGGTCGCACACATCGACGGGTAGGCGGGAGTGATAATTGGCATTCTATGTTGGCGATCATGGGGATAGAGGCGAGGGTTCCACACCCTTACTTGAAGCGGCCCGTCTTCAATCTGTTTTAAAAGTACGGGCTGGGGCCAATTCCACTTGGAGTATATTTGAAAGAACTTCTCAACAATAACTGCACTAACGGTGTTTGGATATAGCTGACATATACGAGCTACCAACATCGCCCATGCGACACCGCCCGGAAAGCCAAAAACATTAGCATAAACAGCCCTCTGTTGAGCCCACATCTTAATACACCTGAGAGCATGTTTGAAGACTGTGGGCTTAGGCACGAGAGTGAGAATCTCGTCTGTCACACGCGTTCCATTTAAAGCACGTAAGTCCTTATCATCGAGATTTTTCAATAGATTTTTATTATCGAGTGTTAGATCTCTCGGAACACGTGGAATGTCTAATTTTGCAAAAATGAGGTCGATTGAGATACCACTAAATTCAATCTTGATAATAGGAACGAAGGCATCAGGCACAGGGGCGATCTCAGACACCTCTGGCCTTTTCTCTAAAAGACTTGAGTAGACCTCAAAGAAATCTGACCTGCTAACATGCTTTGGTGCGACAACAAGAGTATCGATGTCAGAGCCAGGGCCATAAACACCGAGCCTGTAAGACCCAAACGTAAAGATTCTTCCACCAGCGTCTTTCGCCATGCCGTCACTCATATTTTTGTTTTTAGAAACTTGATAAACAAAATCCTCAGTCATTTTCTGCAAAATGTTGAGCACTTCAACTCTTTTCTTTGTAGCACTTTCGCTTTCGAAAGAACCCCTTGTCTTGAGTTCTTTAATTAGCAGATCATTGAGTTCGATATCTTTGGGGGAGGCATTTGCTAAGGAAATTGGAGGCGTCACACCTAGTTGAGAATTCATTTGCATGTAATTCAAATAATAACAGGTTTAAACTAATGTGGGACAATCAATTCTGCAAATAGTAAAATCTCCCCTGATAGGAAATTTGGTCTCGCTGGATTCGCAGGACGGTTTATTATCGATTTTCAGGTGTCGTGCGAATGCATGAATCTCTCTTGCCTTCTCCTCACATACTGACAGCTCGGTAATTCTCACTACTCCGTACTACGCAGCAATTACACTCACGATGGGATTGACTTCTAAGTTCGACAAGTTGAAACTCCGGGGTTCAGGTGAGACAGAACCAGCACCCGCAAACGTTAACAGTAGCGGAGACACTGACGATATCGATGAACTTGACAATGACGGCCAATCGATCTTGATGGGGATTATCTCCCAATTGCGCAAAGGTTCTGACTTATCCAGAATTTCCTTGCCAACCTTCATCTTAGAAAAGAAGTCAATGCTTGAGAGAATCACGAACTTCTTTCAAATTCCTGAAATCTTGCTAGAGGCCGACGATACAAGCGACGAGTTAGAAAGATTTGTCTTGATGGTGAAGTTCTATTTGGCATCATGGCACATTGCCCCCAAAGCAGTGAAGAAGCCTTTGAACCCTGTCTTAGGTGAGATCTTCTCTTGTTACTGGGATGATCTTCCTGACGGCTCTGACGCTTATTATATTGCGGAGCAAACATCTCATCACCCACCAAAGCTGTCTTACTTCTATTTGGTTCCTGACCGTAAGATTAGAGTTGATGGAACACTTATCCCTAAGTCCAGATTCCTCGGAAACTCTTCTGCCGCAATGATGGAGGGCTGGGCACATGTGACACTTGGTAATCATGACGAAACCTACTTCATGAATCAACCCAATGTATACTGCAGAGGCATATTGTTCGGCAAGTTGAAGTATGAACTAGGAGATCATATGATTGTCAAATGCCCAAAGTCTGGACTTGAGGCGGACATTGAGTTCAAGGTTAAGGGTATGATCAGTGGTACCTATGATGCAATTGAGGGAAAGATCTACAACCTGAAAACCAAGGAGGTCTTATACACCATTTCCGGTAAATGGAATGATGTCATGTATATCAAGAATGGAGAGAAAGGCTCAGAGTCGATCTTCTATGATACTAAGGGTGCAGTTGCTCACAAGCCTAAAGCCCGTCCTATTGAGGAGCAATTGAGCATTGAGTCGCGGAAACTTTGGGGCCCGACACTTGCTGCGCTCGCAAAAAGAGACCATGACCTGGCAACTGAGGAAAAATCAAAGGTTGAGAATGAACAACGTCAAGCTGTTAAACTGAGAGAGGAACAAGGAATTGACTTCCAGACGAGAATCTTCAGACCAGTGAAGGACACAGAAGACGACATCGAAGACTTGGAATACATCATTCACAAGGAACTCGACTTGGCAGATTCTCCCGAGATATTAAGGAAGAAAATTCTTCAGGTCTTCCCATTTTTGCCAGGACAAGAAACTCCAGATTCTTTAGAAGTTCCTGCTCGTGAGAAGCAGTAAGTTGTGATGTCAAGGACATATAGCTGTGCTTGCGCATCTAAATCTTTTTTTATTGAGAACATGATAACATTACAAGTCAAAGAAGAGTATTCGATTGCAAGGCTAGGAATCATACTTCACACGTTTCGTAGCCCTCTTCTTGAATCCGTAACATTCTTCTGCATAAATATGAGGCCCCGTTAAGGAAATCAGCGCGAGTGGCCCCTACTTTCTCCAAGCCTTTTTGATCAAATCAGGTCATGTGATCTAAGTGCTGCTCATGTCTCATACTGTGCACATAGCAAGAAGCCTTTTTGGTCAAAGATTGGCTACAACGCCGTAGAGACCAAAGATTGTGATTAAAAAAAGAGCCCCAAGACGAATCGCATAATGCAAAATAAAAAGATGTCTCGGGCCAATGCTATAGTCATTTTCATTTGACAAAACAATCGAGGGTTCCTTCATATAGTGCTTCAGATCTCAACACATAGTAGTACCCCAAAACCAATCGTTCGTACGACCAGGCCATGGATGAAAGCAAGTATCAAGCTTTGCTTGCGGAAGCTGAGAATTTCTCATGTTTTCTGTGTATATACCATTTGAGTCTTTACGGGGAAAATGTGGGGATTCAGCATTACCTAGTGAGTCGGCTCTACCGATATCCATATTCTGAACTTGAGTTTTACATTCCTCAATTGATTCAACTAATTGTGAGTTATGAAACAGACTCCATGGCACTCAGAGACTTCATCCTTCATCAGAGCTCGAAATATCCGCATTTTTGTTTGATAGCCTTCTGGAACTTGCAAGCCTATGTCTTTGAATTAAAGAATGAACCTGACTCATATTCGTTTCACGTCGTTCGCCACTTTGTGAACAGTCTTCAGAGCATCATGTTCAATCAGACTCAATTTACTGACGACGCAATTCGTGAAAATCTTCAGCCAGCGTTGGTTATGTGTGCATCGATCATTTCAAGTATCGCCATGCCTCAGGTACACAATTATGTCAGGCCATTGATTGTCTCACAAGGAAAACAAGAGAAGTCGCTACTCTTTCGCTTGGCAAACTTTCATAAGTCACTTACGAGGAACCTTACCTTGAAAAATAGGGGAAGTTCAGGCAACACTGGGGGTGGTCGCACGGAGGATTCGGGTGATGAACAGGAAGACGTTTCGAGGGCTAAAAACAGATTCTCGGAATCAATGGTGGTAACTGAGAGGCGCTTATCGAGAGCATCGTCCGTTCTGAGCTACGATTTGGATCGTGACTACAATAGTGACTATTCCCATGATCATGCTACCACGAAACCCACAAACTTGAAGAAAAAACCGCTACTTTTACGAAAAAGTACTGAAGAAGCATTCATACACGGCCGTCTCAAAGAAGAACTATTGCATTTAGAGGAAGAGAAGCTCACCTCCCATTCAATGCCCGAATTGATAAGAAATTCAAGAGAATCGTCCTTTGACGTGTTAACGCCTACACTTTCCAACTCATCGACGGGGTCGTTAGCATCTGAAAGACGCTTTAATGAGGGCACTCTTAGAGCAAACCTCGAAAACTCGAGTAAGCTTTTACAAGTCAACTACTTCAAGAAAGAGACAGAATTCATGATGATATTACAAAATATTTCTTCAAGATTATCTCAAGTGCCAAAAGAAGCCCGTTTATCGACTTTGCGAGCTGAGCTTTCCATCACTAATAGCTCGCTTTTACCATCTCAGGTAGATATTCCACAAATGCTACCAATCAGCAGCTCACCCAATAAAAGATACCATCGCATACTTAAGTTGAACGTCAACGAGGCTTGCGTCTTGAATTCAGCTGAGAGAGTGCCATTCTTGCTTTTAATTGAGTACCTCAGTGAGGACATGGATTTTGATCCTTCCACGAACAATAACCGATCTATTCTTGACAAAGATGGGAAACTCAGGACTATTCCAAAGTCAACAATTTATTCCAAGGCTAGCGACGAAGAGAAAAATAATCTAGAGGAGAACAATAGTCAACTCATTGACGAGACCGACCTTGGTGACATCTCTGTCGTGGCATTGTCAAATGAGCAATCGCAATTCCTGAATCATTTGAGAGCTAGGATGTCGGAACGATTTGGCAGTGAAACCACTTCAGATGCTCACATCCGTGGCGTGCCTTTAGAAACAGAATTCTTCAATACCAAGAATAGCGGAGACCATAGCGATGGAAAGTCGCAAGGTCAGGTGTCAACGAAAGATGTATCGTCCCAAGTTCGTATTGCGGCATTGATGCTTCGTCAGTTAGAGAAATCGGGTCATGCGAATCTGCCTCAACTGGGGGCTATAAGATCAAGAATCATCAAATCAATGAAAACCCTACAAGATCAGTTCGAAAGCATTGACTACCAACAAATCAAAGAAATCAGCGCGAATCATGACCCAGATCAGGACGCCGGTGAGCGAAAGCTCGAAAATGACTTCAAGATCGGAGAGGATTGGGTAACAAAGAAAGCGAGAATAAGGAAAACAAGCCCTTATGGACATTTGCCCAATTGGGATCTTTGTTCTGTCATTGTGAAAGACGGCGACGATTTGCAGCAGGAAGCATTTGCCTGTCAACTTATTGCTGTCATGTCCAACATTTGGAAAACACACCAAGTCGGTGTTTGGACAAAGGCCATGAAGATTGTTGTGACGAGCTACAACTCTGGATTGGTAGAGACAATTAACAATGCTTTATCGGTGCATTCTATCAAGAAGACCATGACGGAGCTTTCGATAAAAAGTAACGAAAATCCTCGCGGAACGGTCGCTTCGTTAAAAGATTATTTCCTCAAGGTTTATGGCGATGAACGCTCTTCAAAATACATTAGAGCACAGGAGAATTTTGCTAGAAGTTTGGCCGCTTATTCCATCATTTGCTATCTTCTTCAGATAAAGGATCGTCATAATGGTAACATCATGCTTGACAATGAAGGTCATATCATCCATATCGATTTTGGTTTCCTCCTCTCGAATTCACCTGGAAGTGTGGGTTTTGAGGCTGCGCCTTTCAAACTTACCATGGAGTATATCGATGTGTTAGGCGGGGCTGAGTCACGTTACTATAAATTGTTCAAAGCACTTTGCAAGGATGCTTTCCTAGCCGTAAGGAAGGAGAGTGATCAAATCGTGAAACTTGTGGAAATGATGCTGAAAGATTCTTCACTTCCTTGTTTTAAGAATGGACCACAGACTAGTGTTTTGTTACAGCAAAGGTTCCAACCCGACCTTAGTGACGAGGATTGCAGAGATTACGTTGAAAATTATTTAATCGGGAGAAGCATAGGAAGCATGTACACAAGGCTCTACGACCAATTTCAGTTACTCACGCAGGGAATTTACAGTTGAGACAGTCCGTGCAGCCTCGAGCACCTCGAAACCCATGTGTACATAAAATATATAAGGTCAATTGATGCTACCACGGCCAATTTCATTAAATGCTTTTCTCAACATCCTTTAAATTACCACCCAAAGACGAGTTACTGAAAGGAGTTTCGTCACATGTCCTGTTTCCATACTCGGATTTAAGGTTGTCTAACCGAAAACTCTCGATACCTGACAAAGTCTACAAGAAGTTCAGGCCGCGAAACCAATTTATGATGGCAAGACAGTACCTAACTTCCGTTATAGGCGGTCAAAGAGATGCCAGAATAAAGTCGGGGAAGGCGTCCCAGGTATGTTAACATTAAAATCTTCTTTTACTATCATTGCAAGATTGTGGGAAATTTTTTTGCTGAGTTTCAAATTGCCCGTAATATTTTTTACCATTCCACAGCTTGTCTTTTTTGGTAATGTACTAACCGCAGATCTGGCGCACTGCAACTAATACATTCAGGTCTTATTTTTGTTATCTCGCAAGTTTAGAGGCTGCATATTTTGAAACACAGTCTCTCCTGAATCCGGAATTTCTTTTTGAATGCAAAACTTCCACGAGACGAGTCTTTGACAGGAAGCCTTTCAAAGTCCAAAAATTTCGTGTTAATTTGAAACAATCCGTTCCGAAGGATTGTTACAGCTCCTTTTTTGGATTGAGAGTTGAGGATGTGATCCCGTCTTCGAACAGATCAGCAGATCTTGCATAGCAGTAGACAGATCTCCGCTTATATAAAGCGGAGGCGATTTCTACTTTGCGGAGCAGCTACAACATGCTGAAGTTGGACAAGTTCGATGAGCTTATAAGAAGCCTTGAAGAGTTACTGGCTATTACAAGACTTTCACACAAAAAAAGTCCTGAAGCACTTCCTTCCGGTGATCTCAACGATTGCATGCACCAAGTAAGTACAACGGCTCGTTTTTGATGATACCTACTAACCCAAAGCTAACATCTGAAGCTGGTCTCGGACTTCTGCTTGCAAGATCAATTGACCAGGTTTTTTTATTCAAAAGGGTGACAAGTACACCCGGACCACCAGAGAAACCCTTGGATTCCACACAGCTATGTGAGGCAACAGCAATTGTAAGAAACGAGTCAATTTGCGCTAAGCGAAGGAGGCTGCATTTATCCCATACTTTAAAACAACATCTTGAGCACGTCTTCTCCATGACTCCTCATCCTAGCCGCGCAGAGTGTGACGTTATAGCCAAATCATGCCAATTATCCCCGAGACAAGTCCGTGTTTGGGTATGTATGCTTCTATAAAATTCTTTTCGATATTCGCAAATGACCCTTATACTAACTATTAGTTCACGAACAAAAGATATCGCACAAAACCAAGAGACATGAAGCAGGAATTGAGCGTCCTTACCAACTCCGTAGTCTCTTCGACCAATTCTTCAACACTGCAAGAGGAATACCCAGTTCATGAGCATCTTTAAGGTGAATTCTCATTTGATCGATATCAACAACTTTGGGAGGGAGCCTGAAAATGGAATGGTAATATGTTACCAATAGCCTTTGACTCCACTCATGTCTGTAGCCCATTTCCTTTGCAGCATGACGAAAATTTTCGAAGGCATTCAATCGTTGAAGAACACTGAGTCTTTTGGAACGGAGCAAACCACGAGCCATTCCTTCTATTATCGGGTTTATCAACACTGACTTTCTGGATTTATAGTTTTTCAAAATTTCAAAAGCCATTGACGGCTCGTCATGGACTATGAATTCAAAAACGGATGCCTGACCCGTGGGTGAATCAAATTTCAACAACTTCAAGATGTCACGAATTTGCTTCACACCGTCCTTCAGATGGCTTTTGGTATGACTTTTGTAGACGAAGTGCATCGCCTTCTTCATTATCCGGTCCAAGATGTATGTCTTTCCCGTTTTCGATTGTATAAATGTGAAGTTATTTGATGCAAATTGGTAGTCGTAAAGATTATTGGTGAAATCGGCCATGTGTTCGGTGTCTAGGGTCGAGATTGTTTGTCCCAACGTCTGAAGGGTATGAATCATCCTTGTGCGTTCTTCTTTAGAGGCCATGGCGTAGTAGAACCTAAAATCGTCTTCAAACTGATAGTTGATAGTTTGTCCTCGCTTCTCTAAAGCTGAAGTGTTCCATGTTTTCTTTAGAATTCTGTCAAAGATGGCACACGCTCGATCATCGGTGATGTTGTTACGGAAGGCAAATCTCAAAAGTTCAGTAAGATTGTATGCGGTGAGTTTGGTCTTTTCAAGGCCTTGCAAAATGATTGAAGCGTTTTGTGGATCGACCAGCCTGAGAGCTGTTCGTACAATATGACGATTATTGTTGCAATTCTCGATAATTGTAACAATTTCATGCGGAGGGGCGTCTTCGATATATGCTAGACATGCTTTTTGGAAAAGTTCAGGCCGTTTTTCCTCGAGTGATTGCAAGACTTTTGGAGACCTCTGAATAATGAACGGAAGAGCGAAGGTTAAAGTGGAACCTGACATTTGTTTATAGAACTTCTTTATGGCCTCCAACATTACGTCTTCTTTGCGACTAAGTAATGCCAATTTCACCACAAAGTCAAAGAGTCGTTGGCTCTGTAGAAGACCACGTTGGTTGTTTCTGTATGCGATTAGGAATATGCGGTGGGCGTCTTGAGCAGATGCAGATTGTAGGAGAGAGAAAAAGTCACTCTCGTTGATGTGTGCCAGACGGAAATGCAAAAAATGGGTCATGAGGGCAGATCGGGAGGAGTCTTCAGAAGTTTCAGGTACCTCACCCGGTGGTAGGTAGGGTATTGTGTCTGCCATTGAGCTGGTGAGAAAGGAAAACCATCCTGGTACCTCGAGTATGCTAGGTTCACTTCGAATAGCCTTCATGGCCGGCTTTTGGTCCATGAGATTGAGCTGTGCCTGCAAGAAAAAGGCTTTGCTGATGGGATCTTTGGAGATGGTGTCGAGGTGGTTCTCCTCGAAAAATGCTAGTTCGTCGCTGTTCTCCACATTGTCGAGTTCATCCACAAAGCTCATGACTGCCGAGACCTGAGCCTTATTAAGGGAGAACTTGTATTCGACAGTCTCCACAATGGAGGTCAAAAGGCCGGAAGTTGACGATTCGTGTCTGGCTGCTCTGAGTGCTTGCCATACGCCTAGGTAGACGTTATTGCAAATGCGTAGTTCGGAATGTAGAAGATCGACGATATCTTCAATGTCACTCAAGGACGTGGCGTCTGTGATGGAGACCTGCCAGAACAGATGCCATTGGCCGTAGAAAATGAGTCTTTTGAGTAGTAGCTGCTTCTCGGTTTCCTCCACATGGGGCAAAACCAGGTGTAACTGAAGAAGCACGTCCGGATGAGCGGCAAACTTGGGCAGTCGGAGAAGCTTCACAAATTGCTGGTACAGATCGGGCTCGGACGATAGGCTAGCCTGGAGAGCTGGATCCATCTTGTTAGGAACAACCTCTGGAGTGGGATCCACCGATTCGTCTATGTTCATGCTGTCGGAGAGAAACTGGGTCTCTTTTCGGATAAAGCGGATAAGCATGCCGCTGAGGGAGTCACGTTCCTCGGAGGAAGGCGCTGGAGGGCTTTGGTCCGCTTTTCTATGCTGATGTCGTAGTAGAGCGTGGTATATGCTGGGTTTTGGAGGATGTAGGAGCCGATGTCGGCTGCCACAGCGCCAGGCCGGTCTGGAGCCGAGCCGGAGCGCATAAAGCATGCTTTTGTGGAAAATATGCAGTTATTGGGGTGTAGGACCGGAGGATGGTAGTGATGTCTTAGTAGCTGGATGAGCTTGATTTTTCGCGATGTTGTATGTCGACAGTATGGGGAACCATCAGAGGGAGGGTGATGAAGGGAGGTTGATATCTGTGGATTTTTGATATGGCGATGGCCGAGGGAAATTGAAACTATTCGATTTGGGTGATTTTTGGTAAAAACTGAATTGTGTGATCGGTGCTTTGTGGACTCATTTGGAGTATCGAAGAATGGCTGCGAAAAGTGTACCCACCACTGACATTCCCCAATAAACCGCCGCCATGGATGGCTAAAAATGACGATTTTGGAATTTCTGACAGCTGGATCTTAAATAAAGTCGAATTCTGGACAATAGGGACGACATTGACGCTTTTGCCTTAGAGACACCAACAGCCCTAGTGCCTTGGAATAACACTCCAAACGGTCGTAGCTCCACCCGACCATGCCATAAAATTGACTAAAAGCTCCCAATTCCCTCAAAACAGCTATTTCGCTTCACCTCCCACCAAAATCAACACTCTCCCCCATTGGTGACTCTGGGGTAGCCAAGGCCGAACAGCCGAGAGCCTGCATGACACGCATATCAACAAGCTCTACACCACTTCCTCTCCAGAGCCATGGCCCAAGTCATCTGGAATGCAGACATTGATGTATATAATCTGCTGGTCATTCCGCTCCCGGTGGCGAAAACCATAGCGTGGTTTCTCGACGTGCCGGATTTGCTTCAATTTGCCAAAACTTCAAAGAACACATATAGAGCGGTCAATGATCCCCAGCTATGGATCCTGAAGCTCAAGAAAATGGGGCTCTGGCAGAACGGCGTCGAAGCTTCACGAGAAGAGCTAGCAGGCTCGAAGTTTGAGTGGCTCGATGACCCATTGACCTGCTGTGACAAGATATACAAGATCCCCAAGATCGCCAAGTTCCAGATCCTACGCATACGAAGAAGCCTACACCGGTTTTACGCCGACTTGCAACTGAATCTTCCATACGAGCGACTCAAGCTTTTCAAAACGTTCCAGTCACCACAGGAACAAGCCAAGATGTTGAGTAATCTCTTGAAGTACAATGCTATCAATCCGGACGAGACAGTCGGCAGTATGGTCGGTGAAAAGATCACGGATCTCATGGAGATTTTCGAAAATGCTTTGCTACGAGAACTAGAGATCCATTATGACATTCAGGATTACGAAAGAACCAGCGAGTTCGTCACCATTCTCGTCGAGCTCAAGAACGAGCAAACGCTTATAGACTTTTTCCTCCAGAAAGTTTGCTTCGATAACGACACAACGAAGTTTTTGAACCTGGAGGCCTTCGACGTTTGTAAATTTTTCAGTACAGTCACCAATGGCGACCTTATAGCTCAACTGGACGATGAAGACGACGAGGACGAAGAAAAAGAGAAACCCGAGCCAAAGTGGGAGCTCAACCAAGAAGAAATAGATGGGTTTATTCACGAGCTTGCGTCGGTGTTCAACGAAGAATCGAGGATCATCGATTTGATCTTCCCACAGACTATTCCCATGATGTACAAAGTGAGCGAGGAGCTCATATCTAACCAGCTTCAGGATGTCATTTTGCTTCTCATATCTACGTCGAAAGAACGAGGCTTGTATTTTGAAATGGTCACTCAGCTATACGTTAGACTTACCCATGACTTCCTCGACCAATTGAACCCAAGTGTCAATGTTGGCGAGAGTTACATTCGCTTGACCCGACTGCTCATAGATGTCTCCTACGAGTCAATAGCAGCCGAGTATCTTAATGAAGAGAAGGCTGTGTTTAAGCAGCGCTGCTCAGAGAAGGTATCTGAGTGGAAGGATAATGTCAAGCAGCGGGAGCAGGAAACCACGCAAAATATTCTTAAGCACGTCAAGGCAGAGTCAAAGAGCGATTTCTTGCTGAGTTTCAAAAAGGTCTTTACAATTTCAGGCAAAGACAACGAGGATCTGAAGGAGGAGGAAGGTGACGAGAAGCTCAACTACTCCAAAATCCAAGCTCAAGCGAAGATTCTAGCAGAAAACATCAAATCCTTGAGAAGAGTATTCAGTCCAGAGTTGACACTCAATGTTCTCAATGATACAAAAGTGTCTCTTGCAAGACTTTCGCTGTTTGACGATTACACAGTAGCTGCATTGCGCTTCGATATCTACGGAGTGATGCAAGAGGAGTTCATCAGTGTGATAGAAAGCATATCCAATGATCACCTTCGAGAGGGATTCGAAAGAGCTCTCAAGTATCTCAAGGACTACAACCCTAGAGACGTGTCTCTTGCTGATGATAAGAGGGGCACGGCCATTGAGCCCCTTGTCATCTTTTTTGAGGCTATTAACATGGCCGACATGATTGTGCAAATGATTGATATATTCTACAAGGAGGAGATCATGCAAAGAAAGTTGACCAAACACGAGAACTCCGTTCTCAACCCGTCTCTTCAAAGCAAAAAGGCAGCAGAAGCTCTCGTTGACAAGTACGTCGCAGACGGTCTTCACATTGGTATTGACGTTCTTTTCAAGGAAATAGAGTCTGTGTTCCTTTCAGGTCTCAGTGACTCTGACTACAATCCTCCTCCTAGCATGGCCCATGATATTCCGGGCCCCACCAAGGCTGCCCAACATGCCGTCCTGATATTAGAGGATAATATTGACTTGTTGGTCGATTGTGCCGATAAACCGATTGTGGAGGTCTTCCAGCAGGAAGTTGCGGAGAGATTCTTCCAAGCGATCGTGAAATGCTTGAAACGAAGCACGATCTCCGTGGGCGGTGCCGTCACGCTCATTTCGGACCTCAACTTGTACTACGACTTTATCCTTACCCATGTCAAGAGCAACAAGCGTATGATCTTCCCACTATTCCAGGCCCTCAAAAAGGTGGGATCCATCTACTTGATTGGAGGCGAGGACGCCAAGGCCATTGGGCAGCTCATCAGTGACTTGACCAAGTTTAACGGTATTTTCAGTCAGGAGGAGATTTACGAGTTCGTGCAACGCCGAGCCGACTGGCCGTTGATCAAAAAGCATGTTCAGAAGGTGATGTACGGACTCAGTTTGATCGATTGCACAATTGTATAGCCCATGATCTATTGCATAGAGAATTTTTAGTTGTAGTATGGCAAGTTATTTGTGTTTGTCAGGCTTTGTGCATATTGGTGACAGTATCTATACCATCAACACCTTGCATTTTTCGCAGCCATTACAACTAATACATACAACACGCAAACTTAGGCAATAGCCGTGGAAGAAGAAAAAGAAAAAAAAAAAGATAAAGCTTAAACAAATAAAATGTTCAAAAACGACTCAGAGCAAAATCATTCAAGAATGCAATTCTTCCTGAACATCCCAACTGTTAGCCTCCGTTATCTCTCTTCTCTACTCAGCATGAACCAACGCTACATGGTGGCTGCAAAGGGGCTTTGTCCTACAACATCTCAACCTTGATAAGTCCATAAATGCAACCGCTTGACAGGATCTCAAAACCGTGCATATGCGACCTAACGTGCATTGCAACCATATGGCACCAACCAGATCTTGTCAACTGAAGCCTAGAAAGGCACCAGTACCAAAATTCATTTTCATTGAGTCATTGAAAAACTTATCATCCACAATGGCAGCTACAAACTTTGTGGAAAAAACCTCACCCACACAATGGGGCACCAATGAAGACCACTTATGAGTCATGCGGATATTCCGTTCTGTCGAGCCGTGTGGGGCTGACAGAAAACCGTTATGCAGAGTACTTACGAACACAACGTCCAGCCAATTAAAAGATAAAGTCTCTTCCACAGGCCCGAAACTCAATTGCATCCCTTCAATTCCGTTATTATCTAGATTGTATCCCCGCCTGCGCTTTCGGACCTCTACAGCCAATGCACTCGGTATAGAGGACATCTCCACCTTTAATTAGTCATCAGGAATACAACTACGGAATTGAATCTGCTGTAGCCAGCATGTCTCGACCCTCGGACTCTTCTTGTGTATCGACGGCCGATGCCAATAAACTGGCAAGTTCCAGTTGTCATAGTCAAGATCATAGACTGGCTGCAAATGACTCACCCAATCAGCTCTACGACATCACAGACGAGATCCACGACAACCAGGAGTATGTGGCTCGTTCGGTGGTGCCACTAGCTGAAGAAGCGTACCATGAAGAATTGGAAAGGGTCTCTCGACAACTCACCAGACAGAGCAGGGAGAAGGATGCCTCTTTGGATACAGTTAGAGAAGAGCTGGATGAACCGCAAGATCACCCTGTGGATGGTCTTTTTGCAATATGGCAGGCCGTTTTGGCACTGCTTTTGGTGTTTCTGACGTGGGGAGCCAATGCCTCGTTTGGGATTTTCTTGAACTACTACATGTCCAATAGCCTGTTTCCTGGAGCCACCAACTACGATTTTGCGCTTATTGGTGGTATAGTGGTGTTTCTAGTGCAAGCGCCAGCGCCATTGATTTGCTTTTTGGTTGCCATGTTTGGCCAGACTCCTGTTCTTTTGCTTGGTTTGGTGCTACAAACGTTGGGCTACATTCTAGCATCCTTCAGCACGAAGCTCTGGCAGATATACCTCTGTCAAGGTGTTCTCGTGGGTGCTTCTTTTGGCTTGATTTTCTTCCCTGCCAGCTTGGTGATCCCAACATGGTTTCAAAAACGAAAGTCCACCGGCATGGGAATCTGCGTTTGTGGATCGGGAGTAGGGGGAGTGGTTTTCTCTGTGGCTTTAAATAAGCTTATTTCTCAGACTGGAGATCAACGGTGGCCGCTCCGGATGCTTGGTCTTGTTACCTTCGCTACGTCGTTGTTCTCCATCTGCTTCTTGAGACCTCGAAACAAGAAGATCATCGACATCAACACCTCAAAAATAACATGGGAACGCACCAAGGCGATTTCTGGGATTGTCTTCAACCTCAACCTTTTCAAATCCCTCCACTATCTAATTGTGGGATTTTGGTTTGCCGTGAGCTTCTTGGGTTACGTCATATGCCTCTACTCATACTCCCCATACGCATCGTCCATTGGCTTGTCACACGATCAGGCTAACAATCTTTTGGCTATTTATAATACTGGACAAGCGATAGGCCGGCCTTTGGTGGGACACACTGCCGATAATTACGGCAGAACCAACACATCAGCATTTTTCTCTATTTATTTGGCAATCATGGTTTTGGCTTTCTGGCGACATGCTCTGTCGTATGCTGCTCTTATCGTCCTTGCTATCTTTCTCGGTGGACCTTCAGCGGTTGGTTACGTCATGAGTCAGTCTCTTGTTGCTGATATCTTGGATATCCAAGAAAGACCTCACGTTATGCCTGCTGCGTGGTCAGGCCTCAACATTATGGTATCTTTCGTTTCACCTCCATCCGAGGTGATAGCGATTGCATTGAAGGACGAAAGCGCTTCTAATCCGTTTGACCATGCTCAGGTATTCACAGGTTGCATGTTTCTCCTTTCGTTTTTGCTTCTACTATTCAATCGTGAGTTTCTCGTTCGTGAGAGATTGAAGGATAGAAAGCTGCAAGCTCAAGCTGCCTATTTGAGGGAGGGCGATACCTCAGACGACGATAAGAAGGAGCTACTAATGACCAAGATAGACCGTTACGACAAATTTCTCCAAAACAGCATTTTAAACTATTTCATTCGCATGTTCTATCCCATGATCGTGTGAGGGCAATGAGCTAATAGAAAATATATATACATAGTTATGAGACAGCTTGGCTGCAAAATAGGTCCATCTCGGACATTTCGGGTAGTAGAAGCTAGTAGTTGAAGAAAGCTTCATATCGATGGTGTATGAAAGGTATCTGCTGCAACCTTCAAAAAAAAAAAAAAAAAAAATCTTATATCGCAAGTAACTTATTGGCTATCAGAGCTTACCTGGTTGTTGTAGTCGCATATCTGTGAATACAAGATGTAGCGAGCCAAAGCACCAAAAATGATTCTTCACCTATTAATGACGATCTATTCTTAGAGAAATCAACCTATTATTTCTGGATCAAAATTTTCATGAAAAAAATCCACCTTTCCATCAAGACTGGTTTGGTGATGTTCACGGCTCAACTGCAGGAATATATCATCTCAACCAACTACTGTCCTGCTCCAGCTCAGAAATAGGGACTTTCTCACAACTCCTACATAGCCATGCTATCACGAATACGGCATGAGCTGCATCACCATTTCCATAGACTTCATAATATCAAACTAAGGCCGCAGATAGGCCTTGTTAGGGTACTACAGTTAAGCCGAAGAGCATCAGGATCTTCACAGGAAGCCGTTTCCACGTACCAGCGTCTTTCCGATATCTATAAACTATTCAGAAACGAAAAACTGTTCAAACGATCATCTATGAAGTGCTACAATTACTATAAAAAGCAAGATGAGCTGCTACTAAAAGATGTCTTATCGTACCCGCACATCAACCAAGACATACTATCCTTCCTATTCCTCGGGTTCAGACAGTCCAAGAGCATGAAAGCAATGATATACCAGAACTTGTTTGACCTACTATTGAAGAGGGACTTTGCAGTGTTTGACGAAACTATACAACGCATGAGCTCTGAAAGACTTGTCAGCCAAAGGTTCGTGAAATCCATTCAAACCGTCCAGACAGGCTCAAAGCATAACGATGACGTGTTCAAGCGAATCGCGGAGCTATTCATTATAGAGGTCGGTTCAGCCGGCGAACCCTTCATAGCCTCCTCGTTTGCGGTTCAGTTACTTGAGGGCAAGGTCTTCCTAGATTCCAACGTCATGGAACGTTTGGTCTTGACGCTTGCAGAATTGACATCTGAGCCTTCCTTCATGGCATATACTATTCACAAACTCATCAAACTATACGGACACAAGAACCTATCTGCTGCAACAAAACTTGGTGCCATCAATGGCATGTTGAAAGAGCCTTACATTCCATTTTATGCCAACCATCTTTACGACACCGTCAAGCCACTGATGCAGGGAGATAAGCGTCTTGCGGCCGTGCTCATCAATCTCATATCAGCCAACACAGAGAAGGGGCACCTTTGTCGGACCATTGACTTGTGGAAGGACCTTCGAGAACTTTTCCCTGAAGTTGCCGCTACAGATACATCACTCATTGAGAAAATTGCATCGAGGATTGCCGAGGAGGACATTGAAAGGGCTGCTGATTTTCTCGAGACTGTTCCAGAGGAGGCCAAGTGCACCTCTGGGCTTCTTGAAACCTCAATTAGCATTGTGGGAAGGTGCCAGAACAGGTATGACGAATTCACGTATCTCTCCAAGCATCTCACTGCACCACTTTCCAGAAAAGCGCTCTCGTCGCTTTTTGTTTCATTTTTGCGACAGAACAACGAAACTGCTTCCGACAAGATGCTCAAGGCGATTTTCAAAACACCCACGGGATTGAATCCCAATGATTTCGACGCATTAATCAGCAAACTTCTACGTCGTGGCAAGCTTGAGAAAAGCTTAGAGATGTGCTACAACACCGATGTCCATACCTCGAAACTCGGCTACTTGAGGGTTTTGGACCACTTGCTTCTGCAAGGTAATGTCCACCAAAACGGGTTTTGTGATCACTTTTGCCGCCAATTCAAGAAGCTCAGTAACACAGACACAGCATTGCATACCTTCACAACAACCATGTTCCGTCACTTTTCCAAACGCATCAAAAACAGCGTGAGCAGAACGCTTTACATTTCAAAGGCTTACAAGGACGCTTTCCACAAAGAAGCAGGTTTCAATTTCCGAAAGCTCGACTTGCCTACAAAGTTCAACGACTTCATTCTCATAGACGACCAGAATCGGATTGCATGCTTGAACATCATATACAAGCAAGCAATCATCGAACAAGACCAGGTCAACATCAAGTGGTGTCTTGACGAGCTCAAATCGTCAGGAGTATCACTGAGTGATATCATAGCACATTATCTCAAGATCTGAGGTATCTACCCCATGTACATATTTGCATCAACGTTTCACGTCTATTCCCATTATTATTTACAAGTACCGCTTATTTCTTCTTCTTGTTGGACTCCCACTTGGCCTGGACCTTACCACCCTTGTTCACCTCGGTAGCATTCTCACCCAAAAGCTCGAACAAATCGTCCTTCTGCTTGGCAATATGCTTACGTCTCTCCTGGATACTAAGCTCCTCGTCAACCTCCTTTGTACCATCGAAACCACCGAATCTCTTCTTGAACTTGTCGACCTTACCCACAGCGTTAGGATCAGTGTCGTCCAAGTCATCTCTAGTAGGATTCCACAATGTGCTGGATCTCTGGTCAGAAATCATTCTGACTTCGTCCTTAGGGGCCTGAGAGCGTCTTCTGACAACGGAACCATCTGAAAGCTCCACGAATGTCTCAAACTGGTGGAAAATGGCAGGTCTGGCTTTTCCCATTCTGATGGTGTTCATCACTCTCTTCTTGGAAAGAGAAGCCGATTCACCGGCATATCTCACGGCACTCACGCGGACAGAGCCACGGGAGACGCTTTTGAGCGATGCAGAAAACATGTGTGTATGAGGAAGATTTGGCTTCTGGTTCTCAGGGTTGTAGGTTTTTTTCACTACTGGGGTTGATGTGTACTGCAGGAAGGGCAGTCTGTCCCAGAGGGTTGGTAGCTTTCGACGGGTATTTCCAGGAACGAAAGTAAATTACTTCGAGGGCGAGAATTACCTGGAAATTGAGAGAACAGAAGGATTTCTGGGACGTAAAATTCGTTCAATCTTATACGCTGTTGATGGCTAGATGTTGCTACATGCAGGACCATCAGATTTCCAGATACTACCTAGGAGGAAATATGATTATTCTTTTGGAAGCGAGGATTGAATCAATTTTAACTTTAGCTAATTCTAGTTGATTTCAAAATTTTCTCGGAAAATCACAGGGTGGCCGTTTTTCTGCACATCCCTACCGAACAGCCTTATGCATAATGCGATCGAAAGGTCCCATGATTAAGATGCTTTTGTCAAATGTTGACAATAAAACTCTTCACTTTTCAAACGAACCCTCTCAATCAAACAACAGTATCGCCTTACTTTTGCCCCACCACCTCTTACGTGTTTGTTTGTTGGTAGTGCGCGGACCGGGTTCGAAATCTTCGCTAGTATCGAAAAAACGTACAGGCAGATTCAAGACGACAAATCACCATGGCCTTTTCCAACCAGACCCCGACCATTGTCGTGCTCAAGGAAGGAACCGACGCCCTGCAGGGCAGAGGCCAGATCTTAAATAACATCAACGCCTGTTTGGCGATCCAGGAGACCCTCAAACCCACGTTGGGTCCATTTGGATCGGACATTTTGATCAAGTCTTCCAACGGCAAAACTACCATTTCCAACGATGGTGCTACAATTTTGAAGTTGTTGGATATTGTTCATCCCGCTGCCAAGATGCTTGTGGATATTTCTCGTGCCCAGGATGCTGAAGTTGGAGATGGTACCACGTCTGTGACCATCTTAGCAGGTGAGTTCTTGAAGGAGACCAAGACGTTCATTGAGGACGGCATCTCGCTGCATCTCATCACCAAGGGATTAAGAAAAGCCTGTGAGTTGGCGGTCAAGAAGATCGAGGAGATCCAGGTGGAGATCAAGAAAGAGGACACTACACAGTTCAGAGAGCTATTGGAGAGATGTGCCAAGACGGCGATGTCGTCGAAGTTGATTTCGAAGAACTCGGACTTCTTCACGAAGATGGTCGTGGATGCCGTTTTGACGTTGGAGGACGACTTGGACGAGAAGTTGATTGGTATCAAGAAGGTTCCAGGTGGAGCCATGGAGGAGTCGCTTTTCGTGGACGGTGTTGCATTCAAGAAGACGTTTTCCTACGCCGGTTTCGAGCAGCAGCCCAAGAGATTCACCAACCCCAAGATCCTCAACCTCAATGTCGAGTTGGAGTTGAAGGCCGAGAAGGATAATGCCGAGGTGAGAGTGGACCAGGTGAAGGACTACCAGGCTATTGTCGACGCCGAGTGGCAGATCATCTTCGACAAGTTGGAGGCCATCAAGGACTCTGGCGCCAACATTGTTCTTTCCAAATTGCCCATTGGCGACTTGGCTACGCAGTATTTCGCCGACAGAGACATTTTCTGTGCTGGCCGTGTGAGCAGCGAAGACATGGACCGTGTGATCAAGGCTGTCGGAGGCTCAATCCAGTCTACAGTCAGCGGCATCAGCGAAAAGGCCGTTGGTACATGTGCCGAGTTTGAGGAGGTCCAGATTGGTGGAGACAGATACAATTTGTTCCGTGGGTGCCCCGAGGCCAGAACGTGTACGTTAGTGTTGAGAGGAGGCGCCGAGCAGGTGATTGCCGAGGTGGAGAGATCGTTGCATGACGCCATCATGATTGTCAAGAGAGCCGTGAAGCACCGCACAGTTGTCGCTGGAGGAGGAGCCATTGAGATGGAGATCTCCAAGTACCTCAGGGAGCACTCCAAGACGGTGGCGGGCAAGCAGCAGTTGATCATTGGAGCGTTTGCACGTGCGTTGGAGATTATCCCCCGGCAATTGTGCGAGAATGCCGGTTTGGATGCCATTGAGCTCTTGAACGTGTTGCGCAGCTCGCACGCCAAAGGAGAGAAGTGGTACGGTATCGACTTCCACAAGGAGTCTGTGGGCAACAACATGGAGAGTTTCATCTGGGAGCCCTCCCTTGTGAAGATCAATGCGCTTCAGTCGGCGACGGAGGC